TAATAAATATCAATTATTGAAAATAAAAAAAATAAATTATTAAAATTTTATATAAATATAATATACAAAATTTTTATATAAATAGACATTTCTATGTATATATATATATATTCCTACATAATTTGCATTGTTTCAGAATTTCATTGCAATGCTATATATTTATCTCTCTTCACTTTCTTCTCTATACAATAGATTCAATGTTGTTTCTCCCGCGATGATGGTCAAGTATCACAAGCTTGTCACTCTCAACAACATGACTGTTTTCACTCCAAAGGATGTGGCCATCTTCTCCACGGTACCAATTCACACAACTATATTCATAGTGTAAGGTTCCACGTTGTGCCGAACCATTTGCTAATGTTCGCGAAGCTCGAGAAGCTTCCGGTTAGGACTATGTCACTATCGCTGGAAAAAGGACAGTCTTTGGTGGTAGCAACCGCATGCACCATACTAACTACTCTATTTGGATGCTTTAGACTCAAGCTCAGTGATAAGAAACAAGCAGTGAAGTATAGAGCTATGCTCACTCTACATATTGATAGTGGTATCCACCTCGAAGCCTTCTGTAGATTGAAGTGTACCTAAACACACTATCATATATAAAACTGACATATATAAACTTTATCCTTTATTTCCCAGCTTTAGTGCCTTTAGTTATGATTTATAATTTGTGGGTATATGGACAAGTTATAGCATTTTTGCCATTTAGCTACGCTTTTTTTTACCTACGCTCACTATTTCATAGGTATAGGATTCTATTAGTTATGATTTATAATTTGTGGGTATATGGATAAGTTATAGCTACATCCACAAAAAAACCGTAGGAAAAATTAATTACACTATAAATACGCAATTTCAATTGGTGTAGGTATATAGAAGAACTATTAGTTACGGTATGTAATTCGTGGGTATATGAATTTAAGATTTACTTACAGATATAAAAAATAGTAGGTATACACAATAGATATACCTTCAATCACATATAATTATGGGTATAACACTAACTTATACCTATGATTTTTACAATTGTAAGTATACCCTCACTACCAGAAATTAATAATAAATTAACTACTATTTAATTAATGCTTTTGACTAATGTTTCCATGTACATAAGATCAATTTTCCCTTTTTTAACCTTGCGCTAGGAAAAAAAAAAAACTTAGTTCGAAATTGAAAAAAAAAAGTATCAAAAATATATGAAGTACTTGAAATCATGTACTACATTTTTTCCCAAATAAAAGAAAAAAATAAATAACCTTATTAATAAACATATCAATTCATCAAAAAGATAAAAAAAAATCTTTATATAACTAAAAATGATCATTATTAAAAAATGTAAAAAGTTTTCATTCTCTAGGTAAAAAAGGATTTCAATACATAATAATTAGAGTTTTGTGATTAATTAAATATTTTTTAAAGTTAAGAAACTAAATTATCAGAACAATAGTTCCTTTTGGGATCTAAATGAATGAATCTTAAGTTATGAGATATAAAAGCTGAGGGACCAAATCTGCTATTTTTCCATTGAAGGAATTGCAAAATGGTGGAAATCCGACACGGGTATGGTGTCTACACATTCTTCGTGGTGTCAGCACCATGCAATAAAAAGAATTTATAAAGATAATCTTTTCTATAATGCATAAGATTTATTATAACCACGTCTAGCTTTTTGAATGAATTTCAATTTGTGTTATTTGTTAAAAAAAAAAGGAATAATGAATGCTTTCAACTTTTCTAATTTTTTTCCTATATATAAGATCAATTTCCCAACATCGATATGGAAAATTAACTTAGAAAATCTGTTAAAGAAAAATCGGGATTAAATTGAATTAATGCCTTTTGTACTCAATTGAGAAAAATGTAAAATGAAAGTTGTATCCTGTAGGGACCCAGTTGTGACTAGGAAGGAAGTTGAGGATCGAAAAGATAGGTGGAGGAAATTTGTGGATCGAAGCATAAATCCAGCCCCTTCAAATATGTTGTCGTTTCACTCAAGGAGGGGAAACAATCGAGGTCATCTTCCTCCTAGCCCAACCCTACCGTTAATGCTGTGCGCTGCCATGGCAAAGTTCTTCACGGCTTAACCCCTTAATCCGATGATCAGCCCAGCCTTAATCAAAGACGAAGTTTCGCGGAAGGTACCCTAGCCAAGGCTTGTGTGGGATTCTGGTATAAAAGGTAAACATTTCAGGGTTTTCGGGGGCCTCTTGAGATCTCAGATCTGAGATTTTTGGGGAGGCTAAGGCATGTGTAAAGATTTGTTCTTTTTATGCTCTCACAGTCTCACTTTAGCTTATTCTGCTGTTTGAATGTGTGTGTGCATGAAAAGCTTATGTAGAGAATGCTTTCTATCTCTTTGTATGTGCAGGTGGATGCACTTGTAAGGAGTGGAATGGTTATTGGACTAGGGTCTGGTCAGGCTTCTGGTATGGCTATACAATATTTGGGGCAGCAACTTTGTGAAGGTTATTTAAAAGACATAATAGGGGTACCTACGTGAGTTTTTGTTCTCTCCTTTCATGTTAATGATACTTTTCTCAATTTCTGTTCATTTGCACTGCTAATTAAATGATCTATCTTATCTATGAAGTATTTATTTACAATTATTCCCGTTTGTGTTTTGTTTGAATTGTACTAGTTCAGCTGAAATAGTAACTAATAGAACAATGGGACAATAGCATTCAACTGATTTTAATGGTGAAAACAAAGAGCAATAGTTTTCTTTTTTTTACTTCCTTCCTGAACTTCTTCCGGCATCCTAGGATATCCTATTCTATTTGCTTTAAACAGTTTCTTAATGTTCTTAGATGCTCATCTTCTTTGTTTTGGTGGTTGTCTTAAATTAGGTGTAAAAGAATTTATCTTCTTACCTTGGTTGCCTTATTGGCTTTGTCACATGAAACCTTTTTACTTTTATTTATGTTCAACCTGAGTTGCCCTGGTTTTATGCAAGTCTGTAGTGAGTGCAAGTGAGACAGCAAAGTTAGGAATTCCGTTGGTGGACTATCAAGATAGTTCTCAAGTGGGCACACATTATAATCATCTACAATTTCTTTTTTTCGGGTTTGTGACTGTTATTACTTCTTTTATAGTGCTCCTCTTCATTATTCTTTGAAACTTCATGTGTTGTATTTTCCAGTAGATATGAAATTTGAACAGTACTATGGTAGGACTGAAAAAGTTTACTAACCTGGCTTGAGTTGCTTTATGCAGATTGGTTTTGCATTTGATGACGTTGATATCATAGAGGAAGGAACACTAATTGCAGTCATTGGGCACCAAAGATTGCAAGGTGAGGAGTCCATAATCCAAGAGAAGGTGAGTCTACTATTTCAATACTAAATGCAGCTGATCAGCTTGTGTTCATGGTCTCAGAAAATCAATATAAAGGTGTTCTAGATGGTTCTATTCCTGTTCTAATACAATCTGTAAATAGCATAGAATTTTCTTGCTCATTGCTAATTCTCTATGATTTATTGTAGTAGGTGTCTTATTTTGTCATTGCTCTCTTAATTTGACATTCCTTCCTTAAATCTTAACTGCAACTGAAATCATGTTAACCTTAGAGTTTATAATACTTCCTTTTTTCTTTTTTACCAACATTCATAGTGCTTGTTAAGTTTTTTCCTTTCTAATGCCTTTGCCTTCTTTTCTCAACGCTCTTATACCTTGTTTAAGGGGAAAAAAAAGGCTTAAAGTCCTGACTCATATATTTTGTGTGGTGTTGCAGAGGAAAGCTGTTCTCACATATATTTTGATTGCTGCTCTGTAAGTTTGGGATTCATAGCTAGTAGCTGGGAAGTTGAATGGAGTAGGCTCAGGAGAATTTGTGGATTGAGGAACAATAGAACTAGGAATCTATGCAAGGTGTTGATCATGACTGTATAATTGATCTGCATAG